ACACCTACATTCAACGCGATAATTAACGGCATTTCTCGTTAGTGTAGCCGCAGCATTAAAAGAAACGTTATGGCGATCCATTGGCATGGAAAGCCGTGATGACTGAGAACGTCGACCTGTCTGAATGTATTTACCAGAGCAGCAGCGCTGAAGCTTATTTTTTTTCTCTTAAAAAAAACCTGCTTAATTTGCTCAACATCGCAAAGTGACTTAAGCATATCGGCTATTTAGGACTGTTATTTAATTAATTTGTTCATCTGTAAAAGACTTTGTGAGTAACTTGTAAAATTTAACTTACAAATTTCTTAATTAATTTGCTCTCTTTATTTGTAAATTAATTTGCACACTAATTACGTACTTTAATCGAAGTATTATGTTTGCATCTTGGATATTCAATATGGTTATAAATATTTTGATTTTATTTCATTCTTTAGATGAAATTAAATTATTTTCAATTTATGATTAAATTAATAGAATATAGCTTACTCTGTTGACAATAGCGAAATACGTTACCATACATCAAGTTATGTTAAAAAATAATATAAAATCTTTTCCGACACTCTTAAAAAGAGCTGCCTTCAGAAAAATGGACCAATTTCCTACGGAGAAAAAAGAAAAGATTGTATAATATCACTGCGGAAATTAGCTTCAGTATGTATGTGTCAATGAAAAAAATTCAAAGAAAATTAGATCACTATGATAAGCATTGTTACTAATAAAGATTTTCTTATTTAAAACTGAAGGCGCTCCGCCATATTTTTGTCGATTTTATCGTACATTCCGTATCAAAAATAGTAAAAATACTAAAAAAATTACTACAACACAATTGAAAGCGCGCGCAAATTTTTTTTTAATAATTAAGGTGTCAAACGAGCACACAGTGAACGTTATGGCAAGTGAATGATACGGCCTATAGACATGTTATGTACTCGATTAAAAATAAAAAATGTAGTTGCGCAGTCACCCATGAGGAGTAAGATAAAGTGCCTCGTTTCCAGTAAAAAGGGTCAAGGTATAATGTACCACAAGACGATCTTTACGGCTATTATTAAGTTTTAGTTATACTATTATATTCTATTAGTTTTATACTTATCACATAATTTTCTTCACTTAACTCATTCCCTGTCTCATGAATTATTAATGAACATTTCAATTGCTTAACTATCGTGTCTGTTTCACGCGCAAGTAATCGGTTAAATAAAATATCGAGAGAATCGTCGTCATCGAATAAGAGATTTATTATGCTAACAAAAACAAATAGAAACAAGATTTAATCGATGTAATTCCGGCGAGTCACAAAGACCAGTATTCAGAAACAATTTTGAGTTTAATCTCAAAGTATTTAATATCAAAATTTAAGTCTAGGCCATACTATTTACACAAATTTTGTCATTGTGGGTTGAATTTAAACCGGAGGTTGTTTTTGAATTTCTTCAATGTCCACACTGGATGCGACCATGCCCGAATATTAACGAATTCAGGCAAAAAACCTCTATGACGATGATTAAAAAAAAAAATATATATATATATATTTGTTGGGCGACGGGCCTATGTGTTCTTGAGTCCGATTCCCAGGTCGGGCCTTGACCCTATTATGCGATTAAGTGCGGTTTCCTGATACCCCAAAACAGGATGGCTAACGTGGCACGCGACATCATTCGACGATGCACTTGCTCCTCCTAATCTACCACTTCACCGGTCACAAGGTGGAGGTTCACTTGAGCTGTTAGGAGAGAAAATGTGACGGGGAAAACAGAAAAAAAAAGTGTCAAGTAAAATAACAAAAAAAGAAAAGGTACAAAAAAAGGCACCGGAGGGACCGCGGCCGACGCTCCTGGTTTGGTGGTGTGTTGGAAAAGAGGCGGTGGGCGACGACAACTCGCACTATGCGAGGCGGATATTTCTAACGGTTCTGTTGCTGACTGCCACAGAAGGTGCAATATTAACTAGCGGAGTGAACTACTATGCAAGTGAAGAAGGGGCGAGCGACGGCAGTGCGTATCCTATATTAGCAGGCCACTTCCACCACTTGCATCTCAGCGGGTCGCGTTCCTCATTTTAGACCCCCCCTACCCCTCCAATGCGTACGGAAGAGATACGAGGATACAGGAAGGACGGATACTGGCGAGCAATATACAACCGAACAAAATATATGAGAGTACCCGAATCTTATTCCGCGTAAACATAAAAAAAAAAATATATATATATATATATATATATATATATATATATATATATTACCAGAATCTAACTTTTCATTAGTTACTGGTTATTTATATATCAAAATAATTACTACAAGTCAAAAATGTCACAGTAAGATCCATTTACTTTGTAAGTAAAAATTGAATTCCGTGAAGAAAATTTTTGTGTTTACTAAACCTGCACTGAATCAAGCATATTTTTGACAAGAAAAACAACTTATGAAAATTCAATGAGTAATAAAAAACAATCGTGCAGCTCACACGCGACAGAAGTGAAATTAAATGAAATATAATAATACAAATATTTTACGAACATTTATTTATTTAATATTATAATTTAAACTGTATAAAATAAAACAAAATTCAATTTTACAGTTAATAAATTTAACAATATTTTATACACAGATATCATATTTTCTTTTTTATAAGATTATAATAGCTCCACCTACTACATTCTATAAGCTAGGTTCACTTTATCGTACAACGGATTGACACCAAAGGTGGTAAGTAAAATAGACGCTAGATGAGCTGAATTTATGAAATCATGAATTTTTAATAAATATTGTTTTCAACATGGTTAATTGTATTTATTAATTTTTTTACTGTTTACTGCCGCTACCACGTGGGTGCCATTTCTATATGAAAATCATAGATTATGAAAAGTGAACCATAGAGATGGGAAACTCACGTAACCTACTACCCACCGGTTTTGATGTTTTTTTTTATTCAAATTAGTATTACTTGGACTCATTTATTTTGACATATTTTAATCCGACCATGTTGAAAATATCTAAAGAAGTTTTTCAGGGACAGTCACTAATTTTTACGACGAGTAGATTAATTTCCCTTCAAATGTTTATACTCTTTTCGATATACCTAATATAGTTTCACAATAATTACAAAAAGATTTATATCAATTTCACCTATTACGAAGTTGATCTCTTATCTTCTTGTTTATTACATAGGCACACGACATATACGAATATGTTGTTGTACCTTGTTGAAAAAAATGCGTAAGCGACGCCGTTTCGGCGGGGCTTACGACTTTTTTCTCGCGAGCATTGATCTGTTATCTCATTTTCGTCAATTACACTAAATATTTCCACTGCTTAACACAGCACAGGTTATGGACTCAGGTCACTACCTGGGCTCATAACCTGTTGGAATATTTTTATGGGGTAAAAGAAAGTCGGTGTGTACTGTAAGAAATTCTGTATTATAATGCCAACACAAATTGTATCGTTTTACAAAAAAATAATTAACAGACCTGTTTTGACCACTTTCGTTTTAAAAGAGACTATATTAACTAGTTTATTTTTTTATATACAGGAAAATTAAAACAGAAGGCGGTAGAAGCTTCTTTCTGATAACAACCGAGAACAATAAAAACTGTGGTTGTTAACCTGCCTGTTATGTGTGGTAATTATAGTGAAATCCCCTTTACCTACGTAGCCTATGATCAGCAGTGGACATTTAATATGCTGTAATGAAGACCACAACAAAATAACTTGTTAAAGCACACATGGAAAAAAGCTTAAAATAACAAATTATGTCAAAGTTATTTCTAAAACCTGGTCAATTGTAACTCGGAAAAACCTTGCTACTCTCTCCCGTAATAATTACAGTTTACGATAAAACTTTGGATCCCTTTGTTTATATTTACAAGTATATTTTCGTTAAATTCTGGGTGAAATTTTGCGACTAACAGAAGCTGAAATTGGGGAATTGTGGTTATTTTTGTTTTTCCTTTAACGAACAAAAGTTGTCTTGGTTTTTTCCGCCTACGAGTCCGCATCTTTAGTGGTATATTTTTCTATAGCAAAGCAACAGTGCTGTTCTGTTTTGAAGAGTAAAAGGGTCCAAAATTTTAAATATAACATGTTATTCACGAAGAATCTAATTCTTAGCATGCCATCTAAAGACTGCGGAGTAAAAGCTCCGATAGTCGAGAATTTGAATCCGTAATTCAATTACTGTAGTGAAAAACACTTTTTTTAATGGGGAAATACTTACGCATACCTCTCACGCAGGGGTAATGATTGGTTTTGTCTGACTCGCACCGATTACCCTTAACCCATGTTTTTTTTAAAGAGTAAGGGTAACAAACGAGCACATAGTCCAACTGATGGTAAGTTGATGCTGTGGCTCATAGCCATGCGTTGTAACCCTTGAGAACTAAGATGGTATGCCTCTTTCCAGTTAAAAGGGTATCTAGTTCTCTATACTCACCATTAGAAACACTGCAGCATTAAAATTATTTTTTACGCTAGTATACGCTAGAGCGTGGTCCTTCCCCGGTCGAGCCAACCCCATTCGTGCTACAACCATATTACAGCTGCATATTCTTTTTTTTCTGTAGTTTAAAATAAACTTTTACTACTTCAAGAAATCAGATGAACTCCAAAGTACCCTTTATTTGTAGCTTACCTTAAGACTTAGAAAGGCCTCCTCCGCTCCACGCTGAAAAATTAATTTAAATTTCCTCACAATTTTCTCCTTCACCACCGTAAACATGTTAATGATTAAAACTACTTTTACGGATTTTATCGCGTTTATTTTTACTTTTTATTATTAATTCCCGACGTTTCGGGCGCTTTCCAGCACCCATGGTCACGGGGAGACTGAGATGACTGACGTCCCGATGTCATTGTTAAACCCGGAGAACCTTCAGCTTTTTTTTTTTTATTAAATGCAAATATTCTTTATTAAGAACTTAAAAAATTTCGAATCGAACAACACTGGCCGCAACTTACAGAGTAAAATAAATTAATATTTAAAGTATTAAAAACTAGGAAACTTCTAGAACTCGTCGTGGAATGGGTAGTCTGGATGGTGGACGTCGCCCATGGAGCACACCCTGCCGTTGCACTCGAGCTCCGCGATGAGCTTTAGGTCTTCGGGCGCGAGCTTGAAGTCGAACACCTGGAAGTTCTGCTCGATGCGGGAACGCGTCACGGACTTCGGGATCACGATCATGCCGCGATCAATCGCGTATCTAATGAGAACCTGCGCTATGGTCTTCTTGTGTTTTTCAGCAATGCTCTTCAGCTTCTGGTCCTCCAGCAGGTAGGGGTCACCCGGCTTCGCCCATGGTCTGTCGGGGGAGCCGAGCGGAGAATATGCCGTCACCGCTACGCCTATGGACTTGCAGTATTCGAACAGTTTCTCCTGGTTCAGGTACGGGTGGACTTCGATCTGATTGACGGCGGGCTTGATCCTAGCAGCCTCCATTACCCTATCGAGTTGCTTCTTGTTCTTGCTTTTTAATTATTGTTTATGGTCCGATCTATGCAAAATGAACTGACTATGTCCTGAGGTCTTGCAGTGGTATGCTTGGGTTTAGTTTTAATTTTATTGATTATAGGATCCCAAGCAGGTGGTAGTACCCAGCCTCCTTCTCTATTGAAATTAGGATGTTTTTTAATTTCAATAGCCTCACGTATCATCCTTGGTAGGAATCGGTGTTCTTTCGCGAGGATTTGTGGTCTATCAAATCTGATGTAATGGTTGGGGCCGTCTAGGATATGATCACAAACTGCAGACTTCCCGGAACGTTGATGCTTCACATCAGCTATATGTTCTTTTACGCGGGTCCTAATTGATCTTTTGGTTTGTCCTATATAAGAGAGACCACATTCACATAAAATCCGTAAAAGTAGTTTTAATCATGTGCAATGTTCGCGTAAATATAAGAAATCATTATGTTAAACGTGTTAAATTAGCACTTCAAATTTAAATTACCAATTTAAATAGTGCTGAAGTCTAAATAAATTTAACTATGATACCTGCAAAAATTTTTTTGGCAAAAACTGGGTTGAGATGATCTTCTCCATCTGATAGACTCGTTGGGATAAAGACCCCTACTTCCTGGTCTGAATATACAAAAGTTCAAGATAACTTACAGTTTCCTAGAGCTTAAAGTAACTTACGTAGAATATATTTATAAAATAAAAAGGTAGCCCTAAGTACGGGTTGAAAAGTGCGGGTTGAAATCCTGCATGAAACACGATTTAAATGGACTACAAATAATTGTTCCGGATCTTGATTGTTCTAAAGTAATTTATATTTATAAGGTGTTTCCGCGACCAAAGAAACCGAGACTACGAGAAAATCCTAACGTTTTAAAAAAGTTATTGAAACCCTAATATTAGACCTTTACTTCATTTTATTTGCTTTTCATGTATGATGATCACATGGTGCAGCATTGAAAATACCAATATACTACGCAAGTGTTTAATTCAAAGCTCAGGTGAAGACAATATTTATACAAAACAAAAATTACTGGATGACAAAGTTGAATGTATTTTTATATTTTGTTTTACTTAACACGTGGCAAACGAACTTCCGGTTAACCTGGTGGTGAGTGGCAACTGCAGCCCATAGACGCCTGCAACTAACTTCAAACAAAAAGGCTTAGCTGGTTTAGTGATGGTAAACCTGACGCCGAAAAATCAGTTACTGAGGTTTTTTTTTGGTGGAGTTTTACCTCCGCGCTTCAGAAAGCTCGTAAAGTTGTTGAGCCAGCGCCTGGGCCCTCTCCAGTCGTGTCGGATTTTCTGACCATCGCACTATGAGAGTGAGGGAATAGAGAGTGCACCTATTCAAGCGCACATCTCCGTTGAGACTAGCCGTCGTGATAAAAATTCTGTCTGGTGGACATTATTACATTAGTAACCAAGTAAATTGTTAGAATTTCTGTAATTATGCGCTAGAATCCTGTCTAGTATAGATGGCTAGTCGCCGTTGATACTGGCCGCCTGATTAAAATACTGTCTGGTGGACATTATTAGATTATTAGTCAGGTGAATTGTTAGAATTTCTGTATTGAATTCAATAGCACTTTCGAAATTACTCAGTTTAGCCGACTTTTAGCCTTCTAAGCGTTGGCTATAGATGTCTATGTGCTACACAAACTGCAATGGGATGATCTACTATCTTGTTATAATGGCTGGCTCTTGTTTGATCTTGAATGATGGATGTTTCTTGTGGTCCTACAAAAATTGGGATGACACTATCCCGAAAAGATAACGCTCCTACAGACAAAATAAATTAGCAACAAACTACAAAAGCATGCCGTATGGTAATAAAATGAATACCTGATTGATGTGATTGGAGGATTCGTATCTAGTGGCAGTAGGACTTCTTTTGTGGCTATTTTGGTTATCTTCAAAAAAAAAAGATGAAAGCCGGATAAAAACGTTAAGTTACGTAAAGTAATGTAAAAGGGGCAGTCTACAAAAGAGATAGTGACGGATATATATGACATTGATATTTGCGTTTAGTTTACATTTCCGTCTCATATTTCTGACACCAAATAGATTTTTATTTCATATTTCTGGCACCAAATAGCAGTGTTTACGCTGTTGTGTTTCGGTTTGAAGGGTATAGAGAATTTATTTAATTACAAGCTGCGTCCATCTTAGGCATCAGAGGTGCCAACGCATGTGTAGCTTTCTTAGGTTGAAGTTGGTTGCAGGTGTCTATGAGCTGCAGGAGTCATTTACCATCAAGTGGGAATGTAAGCTCATTCATTGCTTCAGTTTTGTTAGAAAAGGAAGTAAACGGATTATTTACGTCAAAGTTAATCTTACAAGAGTAGAAGTAATCCTCGATTAAAACTACTTTTACGGATTTTATCGCGTTTTATTTATACATTTAAAAATAAAACGCGATAAAATCCGTAAAAGTAATTTTAATCAGTGTATAGTGTTCGCGTAAATATAAGAAATCAAGAAGTAATCCTATAAGAGGAATTCTATTTGGAAACGACATATAAAATTTTATTAAAGGAATTTGACTTCCTTAATTAATTGACACAACTCGTTTTGAACCTCTCCGTTCGTCTTTTCGCTATTACCCCTCTTTCAGTTCCTTTTTCTCACTCGTCTATTCTTTTCGTTCTCTTCTTTTCGTTGAGAAACCAATTCCTACATTTATTATGTGATATCTTGACTATTCATGAATTGAAGGTGTTAAAAATCTAGACTGCCATAGACAATTGTAATGCGTGATGTATTTCTACCTGAGAAACATAAAAAAGCTTAGACATTTTGGGAGTCTTAGAAATTTAACGCTATAATGTGAACTAAAAAATAATAATATTACTATACTTTTTTCGTGATATCTTCAACGCATGTATATTAAAATTTTTGTGGTTTGCGTCCCTAAAAAGAAATATTATTTACAAATAACATTTGCAATCCTCAAAGTTAATGCATTAAGTATAAAAAGTCCTCCAGCACCAACTCACGAGGCAAAAGGGTCCAACTTCATTCTTCACTACACACTGAAATTTACAAACACTCGTCACTTTTTCAAGAAGTGGATTCATTCTTAATTGCCACGGTAATTCTTCAGTGGTAGAGCCACGCGGCAGCTTTGCTGTCGCACGTATGGGCCGGCTCAAACCGGGGTGGTACCACGACCTCACAGAATACCGGCGTGAAGTGGAAGCTCTGTTTCCGCGTTTCGTCTGGTGAGTGCAGGTGGCCGGAGGCCCAAATCCCCCCCCCCCCCATCAACATGGTAGCGGAATTAAATGATAGACTACCCCAGGAGGGTACCAGCACCCCTGGAGAATCCCTCGCTGAGCATCCACGACCATGTTTCTCCACTTCTGAGCGTGGGTGCTCAGGCTGCCCCGCGTATTCTGGGGGGGGGGGGGCAATATTCCGCTCAAGACTAAAACTGCTCGGGGCAAACGGAGCAACAAGACCAAGGCGACCCCTGCCACACTATCCGTGAATTTCTGCAATATCAGGGGACTTCACTCTAACCTAAACGCCGTCCACTACCATCTCGAGACGGCGAGGCCCGCTCTGCTCTTTCTGACCGAGACGCAGGTGTCCTCTCCGGCTGATGTCTCGTATCTCTCCTGCCCGGGGTACAAACTGGAACACTCCTTTGTGCCTCGGGCTGGAGTTTGCGTTTACGTCAGAGAGGACATCTGTTCTCGACGCCTCGGCAGACTTGAAGGTTCGGACCTGTCCATCCTTTGGCTACGCGTAGACAGCGACGACCATCCGCGCATCTACGGGTGCCTCTATAGGTCCCATAGCGGTAATGCCGAAACAGACCGACTCTTCGACCACGTCCAAATGGCTGCAGATTCGTTGCTACAGCAGATCCCCTCCGCAGAGATCGTGATCCTCGGCGACTTTAACGCCCATCACGCCGAATGGCTCGGTTCACGTTTAACCGATCATGCGGGGGAGATCTGTTCATGATTTTGCCTTGGCATATGGTCTGACACAACTGGTTACTTCGCCTACGCGGATTCCAGATGTGGAGGATCATGCACCTTCCCTGTTGGACCTTCTGCTGACCTCTCACCCGGACGGATATCAGATTTCCGTCGACGCCCCTTTAGGCTCCTCGGACCATTGTCTTGTCCGGAGTGTGGTGCCACTCACGCTGAAATCGCGGTTGCATTCTGCAGGCTGCCGCCGTGTTTGGCACTATAGGTCAGCCGATTGGGATGGGATGCGGTCTTTCTTTGCATCCTACCCTTGGGGGCGGGTTTGCTTCTCGCCGGATGATCCTAACGTTGTTGCGGATTCTGTCGCTGATGTGGTACTTCAGGGTATGGAACTTTTTATTCCTTCTTCTGTGGTGCCCATTGGAGGCAAATCTCAGCCATGGTTTGGTCGCTCCTGTAAAATAGCATCATGCTATAAGCAGGAGTGCTACCGAGCCTGGGCTGACGCTTCAGCGTCCAGGGATGTAAACACCAGCGCTCTAAAAAAGAAGTATAATTCCGCCTCTAGGTCCTTCAAAAGAGTCATTGCCAAGGCAAAGTCAGAGCACATAGGCAGAATTGGCGAGAGACTAGTTCGTCTTCCTTCTGGAACCCGTGCATTCTGGTCTCTCGCCAAGGCTGTCCAGGGGAATTTCTGTCAGCCATCTCTTCCATCTCTGCACAGGGAGGACGACTCACTGGCCCACACCGCAAAGGAGAAAGCCGATCTTCTAGGCTCTTTCTTTGCGTCTAACTCGACTCTCGGTGACGGGGGGAGTACGCCGCCGACCATCCCGCGGTGTGAGTGCTCCATGCCGGAAGTGCAGTTCACTCAGCGCTCGGTTCGCAAAGCACTCCTCTCCCTGGACATCTATAAGTCGAGTGGGCCTGATGGAATCCCCCCAATTGTGCTGAGGACGTGTGCTCCAGAGTTGGCACCGGTTTTAACGCGTCTTTTCCGGTACTCCTACTCCCTAGGCGTAGTCCCAAAATC